GACCTCTTAACCATATAAGTCCTTCTCTAGTTCACTGAAGTATTGTCCAACTAACACTGACGTTTTTTCCAACTCAAACAAAATAAATCTACATATTTTATTTATACCTAGTGAATAGAGGAGCTACCATTGTCGGTTTGATATTGAAAAGTTAACATGTTTACAGCATAAAATATTCTCTACGTGGTAACTAATAATCCAACCCAATGGTAATTGTCATATATTTATCAATAGGTTACATTCAGTAAATATTTACTGCATAAATACTGTAATTTTCTACTTACAGTAATTTTCCTAGCCCCGGAATTGTTTTTCACATTACTTGAGGCGATAAACTAATTCAGAAAGGTAATCCCACGACACCTTTTATATAGATTGTTAATTTTTAGCGAATTTCCCTATAGGGAAGTAGCTATTACCGTAGGTCTCATGGTAAGACTTAGGCCCGGGACCGATTTACTTTTTCATTTTGATGTCCACAGAGGCCAAAAACACCATTCGTTCAATATATATATACTTAGTGTATATATATATATATATATATATATATATATATATATATATATATATATATATGTGTGTGTCCGTGAACACGATAACTTGAGTAATTTTTATCCGATTTTGATGAAATTTGGTTTGAAGGTGTAATGCGGGATAAACTTGAATGTTGGGTTTTATGGGGGGTTTTATGGGGTAAAAGTTGGTTTTTCTCACTTTTGACCCTAAAAACACAAAATTTTCCAATTTTCTAATCCTTCTTAAAGAGCTTAAAAAAACAAACAATTCAGTATGTCAAAGTGTTTTTGTACGGTTATTGGTTACGGAGAAAACTAAAAAAATTGTAAATTTAAAATTCCCATGTTATTCTTATGGAGAATATTGTAACATGTTGTAGTTTGCTTGATTATGGATATCTTTTGATCAAACTTGGCAAATATATTCATTTTCTACTAAGCAATAATTATTTTACTTAAAACACACACTTTAATAGTTTCCTTGTAGCAGCAAACCTAGGTACTCGTTAAACCTAATGTTATTTAAATAGATCGATTGAAAATCAATTCAGCCAAATGGAAACTCGCTTAGACGGCAGGTTTGCTGCGGCGGGGGTATTTTTAATGTACAAAGTAATGAATAAAGTAACGACTATACAGTAATTCATTGGGCAAATTAGATAGTAATATAGTAATGTATATAGTATATGGATTATATGTGCGTTTATTCAAGCAGAGCTGTTGGTCGCACTGAGAGCAATTTCAGAGTGGTGCTATTTATCATATAAACAGCTTTACTGAATGTGCAAAACGCACCGCAGGATAGTGGGAGGAAACCCAATATTCCACGCCTTTAATTATCTTTCAGTATACTTTTAGTTTTAAATTGTAAATTTATAAATAAATAAATAAATAAATATATCGTCAACGTAGCAAACCTGCAGACTAAGTGAATTTCCATTTGACCGACTATAATTTAATTAGAATATCTTCTAAGAAAAGTCTGATTTATTCCCTATTTAAATAACATTAGTTTAATGTGTGATCAAGTTTGCTGCTACGGTGAAGGGTAAACGTGTTTTTTTAATTATTATAAAATTTGTATAGTATATAATGGAAATAATAAATGTACTGAATTATATCCAAATACGGTACTGTACTATAATCAGAGTAGCTAATGCTCGCATGTTACTTTCAAAAACGGCTCAAACTATTTCATCTAAATTGTTAGAACTATTTTAGTTTTAGGATACAACTGCCAGGTCTAAATAACATACATTTTAATTATTACTTAGGTTTGCCGCTACAAGGGAGGTGATGAAATATGTGTTCATTAAATTGCAAAAAGCTTCGTATGAAATAAACAAATTTGTCTAATTTGGTCCAAATATATCCCTAAACAGGCAAAGCTACAGCAGTTAAAATATTTTCCATTAGAATAACATGGAAATATGTTAAAGTACATCCGAACATAAAATATTTATAGAAAGATATGCGACAGACAAAATTTTTTTAGTAATACAAAAAAATTTAAATCCACATTAGCAAAATCTCCTTTACAGCATAAAAAATCACTACGCACATCATGCAAAATGCGTTGAATAACAACTTATATAGTTTTAGTTCGGTAAATGTCCAAATTGGCTTGCAATATTGAAATATTTCGCTGGGAAAATATCGGGACCCGATAAAAACATAAATACTCAGCCTAGCTTGGAGCAATTTAATTTTAAATGAACGTTCAATCTTATATCTTTTCGGAAACGTTTCGGGTTTATTTTTGAAAGAATATTCCTTCTAGTTATTCGGGGATTTATATTGATAGTGAAATCACCAGACTGAAATATGTGTAATAACTATTTAATTTTGTTTATAAATATTCCACAATAATTGTATAAAAAGTTACACATTATCCAATCGTAATTTATGAGTTTAATAAAAAAAAATAAACCTTTCATTCTTATTAACATGTCTAGAAAAATATTTCATATTTATGTTTTTGGCGTAAAATATGTATTTTACTATCCCCGAAACTGAAATACTAACTAACATTGATTTTCAAATTACCGAGCAATCAGTTAACAAGTATTGTTTTAAACCATTTTAACCAATCAAATCAAATTGATTTAATAACTAATTTATATTTCATGTTCAATTGTAGTTTATGTTAAAATCTTGGAGGTAGCTGCTCAGGCGGATTCAATATAACCCTTGGATGGAGTGTTTGATAATGGCATTTCGCCAAAACATGGAGTAACCCTCAGTATTAATTACGGACATTCTGATGAGACATTTCTAAATACATGGCAGTGAAATGTGACGTTACACAAAACAGCTGTGTTACCCACGAGCTTCACCCTATTTGACATCATAAGTATTAATAAAACTATTGATTCGTTAGGTTAAGCTGAAGTAAACAAAACAGAATACAGTAATACAAACAAATAATCGCACCTGATTTCAATAAGGTAATAAATTGAAAGAATAACAAACAAATAAGTACAGTTGAGGTTCTTTTAACATTAGGTATATGAAAAGTTCCCTTTAGAAAGGAATTACGACCTTAAAGGGCAATTTATGAAATAATGGATAGTTTTGCGCAAGGTTTATCGTCATGACGAACATTTTGAGTATATGGTTTATGGGCGTGTGACTTGTAGTTTTCTCAAAAGTTCATGGGTAGTTTGGGGTTTATATATGGATGAATTGATTTGAGAGGAAAGAATCATGGGCGTACCTGGGGAGCCAGGATAAGCCAGAAGAGCCAGAGGAGCTAGAAGCCAGGATAAGGTATACAAAATTGAGATCCAAGAAAAATTTTATTAATACAAGAAAATATGAGTAAGATGGACAGATTTTTTATGAAATTTTTTGGCACGACATGTTATCAATTTTTTATTAGTTTCTGAGTTATTTCTTAAATAAAATTCAAATTCCTACATTAGTAATAAACAGACCAATTTCTTGCAATATGCATAAACTAACAACTTTGTGTAGTATAATGAATTAATATAAACCTATTTTTTGTGACATTATTTTGTTTTTAGTTGCCTTTAACAATGATGTAACGAACGATAATGCTCTACGGCATAAGTTATTAGGCATTCTTCAAAATAGTTTACCACACATTTCGGGTGTTATAAATGGATGTGAAAAGATGGCATCGACACAAAAAATACAGTTAAATGTGTATTGTACAGCTAAGCAACCTTACCTGACCCCATTGACGGACATAAAGCCACTTCATAAACTAAGACTTAAACACTGGATTATCGAGCTAGGTTTGTTATATTAATGTCTCAAAATTGCGTAAAATACGCTCATTTCAGCATATTGTTTTTAAAATTTTCCTGGGGGAGCCCCCTATGTGCTGGGGGGTATTCCATACCCCCCAGGCCCCCCGGTGTGCCGCCCCTGTTACAAGGCCCCCCCCCAGTTTTGATCCTGGTTACGCCCTTGGAAAGAATACGAAATGTGAGAATACGTATTTATAATACGTGATTACACGTTATGTTTGCGTAAAATAGTTTCCCCATTGAACAGCAATGGTTAACAAATTTATAAAAGTTTACAAGAAACGTTTATCCGGAATGTCGAAAGCAACGAGATGAATGTAAACACTGAGTTTGAAGCTTGGAGCTTTTAAAGAAAGAATGCGAAATCTTCAATACAAAGGATGCAATCCTGCAAAAGCTCTTACCACGAGCGTTGTGACGTGTTTTAGGATATTACAAGGAATTTCCTAAACTCTATTTAAGGTAAAATGTTTTTTTTTTACACTTATATTAATAATATAGGTATATTAAAATATTGATATTTGTGAGCTAAGTTAAATAGTTTGATTAGAACTATGTTCTTTTACCGAGTATAATGGTATGAAGTTCTATTGTAAAAAAACCTATAAAACTATAAACAATTTCTAAAATAATTAGTTAATATATAGTAAAATATAATCTAAAGATAAGATTGAACGAAATTAGAGAATAAAATCCTTGCCTTACATTTTCTGTGCAAACATCTGTAGCGAATTCCCCAGGGTAAATTATAAAACAGTTCTATCGAATTTTTACCACTGATCAACATTCTATATGTTTTGTAAAACATTCCAATGATTTATACTTTACAATACAATTAACTACTCTGTATTACTGTACAGTTTTTCTGATAGTAAAAAATAGCTAGTTAAGTTGTAATATCTGTAAGAACAAACATTTGAAATCGTGAAAATTAATACACAGCTAGCTTAAAGAAGTACAAATAATATAATCCATCTAACCTGAAAAAAACACTATCCTATAACTCAAACAAAAAATCCCAAATATCAACATCATGCTCGAATTCGACCACGCATTACTTGCATACAACAATCGCCTCTGACAATGAAGCAAGTTGCGGAGTGTGAACTGATAACGCTGAGAGACTGATAACAGTTATAAAACGTCAGTAGCAGACGATAAGATTGCCGCGCACGCGGGAAGCTGAACCAGCTGTTTCCCAGCTAGTCTGGCCCGGTCTCTACAGTAGTGCGGACGTGAGTGTACGTGTCCTTCGACAACTCGTGTTTTGTGTTTTGTGATTCGGTTTGAAAAACACCTGTTGGCTGTGGTTTTGGTAATTATTGGCGTTGCTGTTGCTAATATCATGGTTTTGGTTAATTACTATTAAAGAATATATTTCATTAAACGTTGATTGTTATCAACATATATTTTTACCTCGGACTTCTAAAATAAACGTTTATTAGAGCATATACATTTTTATATTAGGCCTAGCGATGGTTCCACTGATTTAATATTTGGTAAAAATTTAAAACGCCCAACTCATCTCAAACACACTTCCTGAAGTGTGAACCTTTGTAATTAGGTGGATTGTTGTTTATCCGTTCAAAAATACATCTGTTGAGGTTTTTTTGTATTTACAGTATACTAGAAAACACACTCCTGTTCTGTTACCGTAGGCTACTTTGGGCAATTCTGTTCCTAAATCGTTTTTAACGATTTATAGTATTACAGTGTGCGTTAATATTCATTATTTTGCTCCATCAGTTTTCTAAAAACATGCTAATTAGTCTTTTGGATGATTATTGTCGTTTATTTTTCTTATTACATATAACCATAATTTATTATTGCTCATAGCATTAAAATGTTGATTGTTCAACATAACTTTGTTCCATTGGTTCAATAAAAACACACTTAATACGTTTTGTTACTATAACATTTTACGATACTAATTACAGATTTTCATTGATTAATTATTGTTCATAATCCTACAAACATACTAGGCCTAATCTAAATCTTAATTGTTTGCTTAGTAAAATGTAAAGACAGTTGTGATTCGTGTTGGGTATTGCAAACATCGCTGTTGATTTTTCATTTTCCCAATGATTCATGTATACAGATAATTTATGACCATTCATTTAATCAATGGAACAGTTCACCAATCATAATTTTCTGTCAAGTAAAAAACCTCTTTAAGTATGTGAAAAGCTTATTGTTTACATTACGAGGCATTTTTTGTGGATAAATCTGTTTATTGTGAGCATTTCTATTTCTTTTCTACTAGTCATTCTATATACAATTTCAGTCATTCAACGAAAATTGGTTTGTTTATATTTTCATAGTTTAAAATACTATTTATGATTCAACAATTAATTATTTTATCAAATTGGCTATCAAAAATCAATGACAAAATGGCATCTAGATAATAAAACAGCTAGGTTTGGGATCGAACTAGCAGATTCGAGAGCGAACATAATTCGCCTACAGACAATTAATTTTAGTACAAAATAAAAACGAACACAGCATCACAGCACATTACGCACAATGCCATATTATAAAATCTGTTATCACGAACAGCTGATATCAAAACAGCTGATTCCTCCTGACCTAGTAATACAGACATTGTTGTCATGTAGCTTTACACAGGCAAATGACGAGCTTGTTGTAGTGAGCAATACACACTATTCACTTTGAATACCCGAAACACAGTCCTATTCCCTGTCACGCTTTCGTCTTCGCTTTGAATTTATATGTCACTCTTTTATTGTAATTTATTTTGTAAACCGTTGGGAAATTAATCAAATTAAAATTTAATTAGCTAATTAAGTAAATTTGATCCCGTTTTTTATTTCAAACAAACTATGTACAGTATACACAGTTGGTAGCCTCTACACAATGAAAATATTGCAATTATTGCATATATTGTTAATTTATTTGCACTATTCTTACACATTTTAGCGTGGATTAATATAGCTTTATATAGGTTTTACGCCTCATTCAAACCTTATGGACCCTCCATTTAACTAAATCAATTACATTAGATTAACCCAGTTGATTAAATGACGTGATGACTCCTTAGTAGAATAAATTTAAAAAACAATATTTTTAATAGTTTTTCCTACAATCAGTTATATTAATTTCTGTCATTGTAATGAGAATTTAAATAATACTAATCTGAAATTTCCAAAGAATGATTAAGTGTTGTACCGTTATTGTAGGACTTGATCTAAAAGTGTCAATAATTAAAACATAAAAATAATTCTACAACTTCATTAAAGTAAACCCTGTATAATAAAGTTCGTCAACCAACCAATAAAAGAAAAAAACTCTTTAAGTATGAAACACGTACTACTTCGAAGCGCATTTAAGTATATTGAACTCTGATAGTGACATAATTTGAAGAAACGAAGAAAGGTATAAGTGAAATCAATTAGTTTCATTTAAATTGATGGATCAAATTAACTCAAAACGTCACACCTATGACATGACATTATCACAATTGGAAAGACGTGAAAATTTCAACATCGACAACTATTACACTCCAACTCAGGCCTATGTCGTGTAGGATGTTTTAGCGCCTGTCCCAAAATACATCTGACAAACCAACAGATACGAGTCTATTCTCCAGTTCTAGGACTACAGTGAGTTCTACGTTTAGTTAACATCACCACGTGCCATTGAAAACTACCCTAGAGTAGTAAAAATAATGTATACTAGTGGCATGTAGGGACATAAATCCCTAAAAAGCTCAAAATGTGTAACAACTTATTGTAATTTTTAAACAAACTAAGAATCAAATTCTTTTTGTCAAGATGGATATCCCTGTACACCTAAAAAAGCACATCTAAAAACGTCTCTCTGTTAACTTTGGTTGTTGTTTTACATGCTAAATTAAATTCAATGTTTGTCATATGTTTACCCTTTTTGCGTTGCTAAACAACCATGCGACGAAACTTTAGCGAAGTAAATAAATATACTATACAAAATTAACAGTTTTATTAGCCAAATTACGTAATACTTTATGGTTTTAGGGTTCCATTTCCCAGTTGTCGAAGCCAATAAAAAAAATCCTTTCCATCAGAATTGACGATTGACACGAAACTTTTGGTTTGGTTTTCAAAGAGTCTCAATTTAGACTACGTTTTCCGTGGTTTTAATATAGTATGCTATACAGTACATTACAGAGTTAACTGGCTAAGAAATAAACCAACTGCGTGTATCGAATACTGGATTGGAAATATAGAGCGACCAACTATTATTAACTTAAGTAAACAAAAATCAGCTGTGAATATCCGATTTTAATTAAATTTGGTGTAAACGTGTTAAGCTACATTTATTCGAACGAGTTTGCGAACCAGCATGTTTGGACTATGGGAACGGGGGTTTATGGGGATTTTTTGGGGGTTAAATTTGGTTTTTCACATTTTAGACCCAAAAAAACATAAAATTTAGCAATTTCTTTCCAAACCGTTTTGCAGATCTTAAAAAACAAATAATTGTGTATGTTGAAGTGTCATTATGCGCCTAATGGTTCTTGAGAAAATTCAAAAAACTTGTAAATTTAAAATTCACGTGTTATTCTAATGGAGAATAAATAAACTGTTGTAGTTTGCTTGTGTATGAACATATTTTGATCAAATTTAGAAAATACATTTATTTCTTACTAAACTATTAATCCTAAAAAAAACACTTTTTTACCCTCCCTTTTGGAGCAAACCTAATTACTCGTTAACTAATTCTATTTGAATAGGGAATAAATGGGATATTTTTAACGAGTCATTTTAGTTTAAATCCAATCAGGCAAATAAAAATTTGCTTAGTCTGCAGGTTTGCTGTGGCGGGGGTATTTTTATATGTATTGTTTAAAATGTTAATCAATGTTTCTTCAAATTTAGGACTCTAAAAAGTTCATAAAAAACTACTTAAAATCTGACTTAGGCCCATGCTCTGTTTAAAAATTCAAAATCATTACAGGACACACCTCAATAATGTTTTGAACTTAATCAGTCCATGACGAAAAGAGAATGTTTATAAAAGAGTTCGGAGGTTATCGCAGTGATTGGAGCAACGTTCTAAAAATATGCTAAAATAAACCAGCGACACGAAACTGTGATTTATATACCAACTGTTTGCTAATATTGTACCAGAGAAATCACAAACTTTGTCTCTAAATTCCAACAAGTTGCTCCAAGTTTTAATTAGAGTGCTTAGTGTAATAGTTGTTGACAAGGGGATATTTAGTGTGGTGAACTGTGATAGATAACGATGAAATATGACTTTTGGTTCTAATACAAAACGTGCTGTGGACAGTTTGGAATATCGTCTTGGAAATTAATCATCCTCCGCATACGATTTATCGTCAACTGTTGCTAACTTGAAGTTCATGGGGCTACAATTATACACTGAGTTAATGTGACTTCCTATATATTTAATTGTTTAATTGTTTAATATATACGTATCGTATATCGAATAAGATTAACAGAACAAGGTTCAACTTTGTTTTTTTAATTGGCTCCAGCTTTAAATTTCCTAGTGCCTGTTTTTATCATTGACTTCAAATGTACGTGAAAAGACTAAAATTCAACTCTTTAAACGTTTTCAATGTTGTATCTAAAATACTTTTATTCTAAAAGCGACTTTGACGTGGAACATGATATTTTATATTTTATATTTCTACCAATAGCCAAAGCTCCATAAGATAATCTTTACAGTATCTAGTAACAAAAGCTTAAAAAGTTTAGGAGTAAAATACGTTAGCTTATGTGTAACTGCTTAAAAGATACTTCTAAACTGAAACACCTGCATTACACAAGCTTATGAAAATACCTTCATAACTCCAAAGTTTGAATTCATAGAGTTTACTTTGAGATGGTTTCATTAAAACTAGTTTGGAGTTTAAGTGATTTTAAACTTTCGTAATGATTCTGAGGGTAGTTTTATTCATCAGCCGTTCTTTACATGGCTAATATGTTTCTTGTACATTATGTGAAATATTTTGAATTAATAATATAGTTAGTTATTAGAAATGTATCTTCCTACTAATTTATATGATCGTACAGTTATTTAAAATCATATACACACCAGAATTCATTTTAAAAAACCAATTAATTTGCTCTAGAATTGTATGTAATTTTGAGAAAATATTATTTAAATAGTAGGCTATCTTTTTTATTGATTTTGATATCATAATCATGAACTTTCCACCATCTAAAATTGTTTAAGGCTTCCATTTATTTTAAATTTAATATCAAATCGAACTCCCTTGCACCCTATTCTATTAATTTCTGTAGATTAATTAGTTAGCATTTATGTAAACAAGGAACAATTGCTAATTTA